TGGTTTGACACATTTAGGTACCTCACTTTGAAGCAGAAGAATGCTTTTTCNTTTACAGTGTTCAAGCTACTGATATCACGGATGTCAAGGACAATTTCCACACCTCAATCTTGAGATGCAGTTTTTCTGTAGCATTGGAAAGAAAAAAAAATAAAAATGAAGCTTGGTTAATGGTTATGTCCAGTCAAAAAATTTTTTCCGTGGAAAGAAGATTTACTCTGAGTTTTGTTTCCTAGTAAATCTTGCGCACAGAGGTCCGGTTTGGAACTCCTTCTTTACGCCTGGTAACGAAGTATTGGCAGACGGTAAGTATGGATACTCAAAAAGTTCCTTCGTATTATGCGTTCTAACCTTTTTTTATTTGTTTCGTCTTGCAGAAAGGCCTGATTCTTCAGGTCGCAAAAATCGTCCATTCGGGACGCAGAAATCACCCCAAAAATCAGAACAAGGCGTAGTCAAGAGGCTGTTTGACGAACCTGCGAAAGTTGAAAAAAGGAGTCCGATTTACACTCGTTTGTCCTCAGCAGCTGTTGTGAAAGATGCGTCTCCTGCGAAAATCAACCTATCTAAGGTAGGTAACTTCATCCTAAATTATTAGTATTTTCTACTACCTATCAGTGCTACTTTCAGTAAATATGGCTTAGTGACAGTCATTCACATGTGCAATTTTTGTTCAAAATTTTCTTTTAATGGAGCAGACTTCAATCACTGTTACTTTTGAAAAGCTCACAGTCTATGTGCCTGTTAGTCAAGGGCTTTGCCTACAAGAATGGAGAGCCTGTAACTAGTCAATTTTGTGACGTCAAGCCAGTAGATATTTACCGAAAACAACAAGCATCTCCGGGTCATCGGTGCATCAATGAGTGAGGCAGTTGCTGCGTGGACCAATCAGAGTGGCCCTCGATCGGCCGAAGTTGTATAAGCGGCGCGTTTGAATCTGAGTTGAGTAACGATTTTCGGTATTACGCTTTCATTTCCTCAATTATTAGACAATGTCACATATGGGCTAGTTAGTTTTCTGAAGTGGAATTTTACCCTCTTTCGAAAAGGTTCTTATGAATTTTTGCATTAGATCAACCCCGAGAAGATATCGGCTCGGAAGAAACATGTGTCAGGCGTTCTTTCATAAGAACACATGTTAAACCACGACCGAGTTTCATCCACTAGCGTGACATCACAGAAACGTAGTTATGGCTTCTCCATTCTTGAAGGCAATGATCAAGGGATCTAGCCTGACAAGTAGGCATTTCTGTGATCCAACGGAAATGATGTTTTCCTCTTTTTACCATGAGATCTTTATAACTGGAAGTAGACAATGTCATTTCATAAGGAAGGACTTACACACTCACAGGTGTGACCTTCCAGCTCTGCTTGAGAGAGTGGTTACGTCACTGAATTGATACAAAAATAATTTGGAGCTGGAGCAATGAAAATGTTGACATACTCTGATGAACTTAATTTCTCCTACACTTTTCTTGGAGTACCTAATTGAAGGTTTGGCTGTAGGTTCCACATAAGGAATATAAGCCAATAAACTAACAGAAGAAGAAGAAGAAGTTATTGAAGGTTAAAAGCTGGAAAATGAAAGTTTGAAATGAACTGTTTGACCATGTAAAGCTATTTGAAAAATTACCAATAAGCAATCTGGTATTTCTATTCGAATGTAAGATGGTATCAATCTTGGCATGTTCAAAGTTGGTTCGGAAAGCTTGTTCAAATCTTTTTTAATATTTCTCTCTCTTTCCCAATATTGTAAAATGAAGCCTTGTTGAGTGTTTCAAACAGAAATGTTGCTGAAAACTCGTAAACAGAAACTTTTCCTGGAATTATCTCAGAAAAAATTTTAGAAGAAGCTTCTGCTCACTTGCTTTCACCTAGCTTCTTTTTTTACAATTTATAGGGAAATAGCTTTAATCCAACTCAATAATTTTATCAAAATGTGCCCAAGGCTTTACCCAGAGTAATTCAATTTCGTAAAGATATCCAAGGGAAAGATTTGCACAAGCTTCAAAAATGAATCCCATCATTTGATCACAGCAAGATTAGTTTTCTCATTCATAGGATATTGAATATTGATAGCCCAAGTGCGAAACTACATATCTCAATCACAGTGTTTCAAAATTTCCTCTCCTATTTTATTTTTTTGAAGAGATACAAGTCAACCTAATATCTTGAAATTCATACAGAATATATATTCTACCAATGGAGAAAGAAAATCAAGGAAGTTTTTAAGAAATAAAGATGTCTAGTTTTCAAAATAAAAAATAACGTATGACAAGGAGTCTGCAATGTCGCAAACAAAGATTACAATTTAGCCATTNTAAAAAAAAAAAAAAAAAAAAAATCATTGGTTTAACATATTTAGGTACCTCACTTTGAAGCAGAAGAATGCTTTTTCGAAAAATGTGTTTTTCTTCTAATCACATTAATTTTTCCTAATAATTGCTTCACCATCTGTAAAGGTTCAGAAGAAATTTTAAGTGTCGAAAACTATTGTGCAGGCAAAATTGAGGCAGACTTGATGAGGATCAATAAGATGAGAGTAAAAAAATACTTAAAAGACTGTAAAAGATTCCAAGCTGTTACTTGCATTGTTAAGAAATCATAGCAATGACTTTAAAAGCAGTTTATATACTCACTAGCAATTTAACATCAATTCTAGGTGGTTGAAAGCATAAATGAAATGAGCATTGATCCTATACTACAGCTGCAGCTTTCAAAAAATCGAAACTAGAAAGGCACAAGTAGTGTTCAGAATTTTGTGCCAGCAAGTTTTTGTGGTGCCTAAACCATTGCTATAATTCCGGCTTTGCTATTGCCGATTTTTTGTACTTCAGCCGTTGAATGATATGATGTCAAGACTTATCACCAACAACAAAGCAAGTGCCAAAAAGTTGATTCTGAGTTATTCACATCTACATTTCTGAAAACTGCCTTGGAAAATACCACTAATGCTATCTTTCTAGTGTCAAAAGCTTTACCATATTGTTGCCAATCTTGCAGCATATTGTCTTTGATGCTTATTGTTGGAGTAAAATTTCTTGTAGAACTCAATTTTAGATTTTTTGACACTGTACCTTTTATCAATGTCAATTCTCCTTATGTATTCGAAGGAAGAATTAAAAGTCTTTACCACGAATACAAATAGAATAGATTCGATTGGACTTAGCGGAGGTGTTGGATTGTGGTAAAAATTATAAGGTACTTCCCATTTTTATCCAACCAAATCTATTGATAGTGGTGTTGCTAAACCAAACTCTACTAAATACATATAAAAGTTTTTGTCTCGTATGATTGAATCTTAAAAATTTTCTTTTTTCATTACAGACTGAATTCCGCCAAAAAACTGAAGCCCAGCTTTCACGGCCTACTCCAAGAGGATCTCCTAGATGCCCCCTAGGCCGTAGCCCAGCTACTAAAGGAGAGAGTTCAACCACTTGCCATCAAGATTCAAACAAAATGGAAATTTCAAGAGCAGCTACTTCTAAGTTCAACCTACTTAATTCCTCTCACTACTCTCACCTCAACGCTGGAAAAACCTTGAAATCCCCCAAGTCACCAATCCTCTGGTCCAACGCCACAAAATTTAGACGACACATCAACACAGAGCCGATAAAGTCTCCTGAAGAACCTCAGTTTTCATCTAGGACAATGAGCATGTTAACGAGCACCGCTCAGAAAAACACAAAGAAACCTGCTTCAAAAGAAAACGAAAATGAGTCTAGCTTTTTGAAACTTGAATCACCCCACTTGTCAGCGATTAAAATAATGAAACCGGTTGAGAAACCAGCCGCTTGTGGCAAAAGTGTAAAAAATTTGTACCCATTCACCTGTGCTGACTCCTCTCTTAATGATATAGTAAAGAATGAAACAATTACGGAAGAAACTGTCCTGGCAAATAAATCCAACGATGATAGCTTTCTGAACAACGAAACGCTATGCTTAATGGACACAGATCAAACTGTGAAAGAAACTCACGATTCAAAAGAGGTGACCTTGAAAAATGCCTCAATTAATAAAACTGTGATTGCCACTCCGAGAAAACTGAGCATTATCTCTGAGGAGACAGTTGTCAAGTCTGAGCCGACTGTCTTGAAGCCAGACATTCCAGATGAATCTCTCACAGATCTAATGAACTGCGTCAACAATCTGATGGTAAATAAAGAAAACTTCTTGTCCCAGCAAAACAGCCTCGTTCAGCAAATTAAACAGTCACAAGAGAAGTTTTTTGTCCAACAGGATGAGATCTTGTTGAAGATTAACAATATCATGACGAAGCTGAGCCACAAAGCTGACCGAAAAACTACCATTTCGATGAACCCGCCGCGGAATGAAATTGTCACGAGTAGCATTGCAGGCAATGGAAATGACGAAGATGATGAACTACTGTCTGAGGATATGAACGATGGGAATAACTCACTAATCTGTGCCACTAAGAAGCTTAAAATATTTGACGAAGACTCTGAAACTCCGCGCAGGTCAGCCCGGATTCTAGAGAAAATTGATTCCAGTAGAAATGTCAGTGATGCAGCTAAAACACCCGATAGCTTGAAAAGCAATTGCACAAATTATTTAAGTACGCTGGATACAACTGAAATGTCAGAGTTTAAAGAAAACAGCCTAAAGACTCCCATTAATCAGCGTAGTTCCTCCAAAGCCAATGAAAGTAGGAGCAGACCCTATTCCGCCAAAAGATTGTCACGATCTGCCGCAAAATCTAGTCTCAAGACCCCATCATGCCCGCGTAAAACGATAGCAGACAAAAGCTTTTCTAAGTATGAAACTCCAAGCAAAAGAAGTAAAAAGTCACCTGCCATAGGTCGAGTGTCAATGAGACTGTCGCGGACTCCAACCACCATCAAACGAAACCAAAGCTCACCAGAGCAAGACAACACAGCTATTCTCATGAAGAATCTACGTCGCTCTTGCGCTTTTCTGAAAACGCCCAAAAACACTAACAGAATGTCTATCCAGGCGTCCAACATTTTGACACCGCACTCCATGTCGTTTGTTGTTCATGACCAAATGAAAAATATTTTCAGCTCTTAGGTTTGAGCTGTGGTTTTGCTCATTGAACGCATGATAAATAATTTTGCTTTGACCTGTAATCTGTGATAGTTGCTAATTTGAACTAGGTACTTTTACTTTAATTACAGCTGTTAAGAAATGAATGGATTAAACCAGAATCGCGGTAATTATATTTCATGCTGCCTAATTTCCTCTAATGTTTTATTTTTCATCAAAAAGTTAAACTACATAATGCCTGAAATTCTCTGAGGAGTTATCCAAGATCTCATAGAATGTACTCACAAATTTTTGAATTTCAGTATTGCTTAGTTTCTTGTTTAAAAAATAAAACTCTAAAGAAAGCAGGCAGTCTGATGTAGTCAAGCTGATTCCGGTTAAATTGGTCTAAATTGGACTAGATTTCGCAATTAGGAACCATAATTTCTGGCACATATGTAAAAACACTTATGTGATTAGGGAAACTAATCGTACATACGTTGTTTCTAAACCGAGCTGGAAATTGTAGTTCCTAATTGCAAAATGTAGACCAATAATGTAGATTACTGAAGCCTGAGGATCACATTGTGCCATGTCTGATGACGTGCTGGGTTTGACATGATCGATTTTTTAATTTTTAGGCCAATAGTCCAAGATACGATCGCAACCCCAAAACAAAAGGGTTCAACATGGCACCAAACCATAAAGTAAAGCCCAGAATTGGCATTGATTTTTCGCCCAATTAGCATAATTACCCTGATCGACTCTTGATTCATATTCGCACTGGCCCTTATCTGTATTTTTTATGTGTATTTACATAATTGAAGCCAGGCATCTGCAAGTTCATATCACTGAAAATTTCGTGACAATTTTTTTTTCCATTTCTTTCTTGAAAGGAGACATTGTGAAGTTGCTCCATGTCAGGATTCTCATTATTCAGCTATTTTCTTTCAAGTTTTTTCAAGGATCATGCTCCAGGCAAACAATATCCCGTTTTGAAACCATATTTACCCCCAACAAAGCCAGACGTGTTTCTTGAATGAAAGTTAAAAATCATAATCGTAACAATCATTCGTCTCAGTTTTCTAACAGATTGGGACCATATACAGCAGAAAAAAAAACTAAACTGCATCAGTCATTGTCAAATTTCATCGGACGATTTATTCCTTTTACCAAAGACTGAAAGTGAAGATTCTTTTGAAAATTTCAAGGGATTTCCTTTGTGATGTGCATCAAATTCCTGAAGATTAGGAAAAAATCTATTCAACTGTTCTTTTGTGAAAGAATACATTTTTTGATGAAATTTGGCAATGAATGATGTGACTTGGCCTCTCTCTGCATAACATAGTCCATTTAGTCTTGGAAACTATTTTAAAATTTTTAGTTTTCATACATTTGTTATGCAAGATTTTGGGAAAAAGATAATTTATGACTGAAGTTTTGAATTCCCATTATAAATATTTCATGCCCCTCACTTTTAGACGAGTACTCCATCATTTGAGTAATGTTAATGTTCTCTTAATTATGATTCAGTGGTCTGTTTTAATATTTTAAAAGTAATGATTCCAGTTTTTACAAATTTTCCCTTGGACTCTTTGTAAGATAATTTTGTTGGCTGCAACCTTTGTGGAAACCTGATCCCAGGTATAGTGCTAAACTATAAGCATTACTCATCTGCTGTAACATTTGGGTCTATTAGGATCCCCAACCACCGTGCTTTCTCTTCAGTCAACCCAGCACTTCTGGAAAGAATCTAATTTCAATAGACAGTCGTAGAATTTAATTTTAAAATTTATCTCACCTATAAGAATGCAAAAATTCGCAACAAATCTGAGCTATGTATTTACAACGTAATGATTTTTTTGGCAGCTTTCTCTACTTGGATGTAATACTTGAAAACATGTTACTTCTTGACAAAGCATGGAACTGCGTGTGTGAGATTGAGCAAAGTCCATCAGTCTTATTTTGTACCGAATTCAGCAGAATGGAACGATGTTTTCAAAATTGAGAAACTCCTAAGCTTTAAAAGAGACTAATTACATGTACAACAATGAAATTTCAAAGATTGTTTTTCTTTGAAATGAACAATTTTTTAGTCGAAAAACCAAAAATAATCAATTTCCAACATTTTTTTTGAAAAAGATAAAGATGTAGGTTTTTACATCACTGTGATTGAGTTGGTTCCCTTCTGCTACATGCGACCCCTATCATATGTTATCATGAATCTCAGTAAAGAAAATCAGACAAGAATACTTGCTCAACATTATCTACACTTAATAAATTTTGCACTTCTATACTAATTCTGAAGATGATGTATTGTAAGCATTACCTACAGGCAAGCTCTAACAAAACAATGCTTTACTTTGTTTACATTTAATAAGTAAAAATTCCTCTTGGTTAAAATAACTTTTACCGCATCAAAATGCTTTTAAGAGAAAGACATCTCGATGTATGGGTCAAACATTTTTTCTTTATCCCCACTGTATGCTCAAAAACTTGCCTCTGATTAATTTCTCCTGCATTCTATGAATAAAAATTGAGGCGATATATCTTAGGCTTTTAGCCTGATGGAACTCCTGTGCGATGTATCGCATCAATTGAGTAAAAAATCTTCATAGATTTTGAACTTGATCAGTGCAATAGTACGCCCAGTAGTTTGATCGCGCCAAGAACCCGGACGTATCACCTTAAGACCTATCATAAATTAATCTTATGTTGGTTCATTGTGAGCACTTGAATTATTGTATATTTTTGTCGGAAAGTAAAAGCTCATAGTAAATGCCTGACAAGAATAACTTACTGTTTATTTGATACATTTTCAAGAAGTGATGAAATTCATAACTCATCCACAGTTGAAACTGAATAACCAGAAACTCTTTTTTTCTCCTCAGAGAAATTTCCTTGAATCTTTAAACATGATTTTTATGCTGTTTTTAAATAAGGAAAATAAATATTCAGTTTATCGGGAGAGCCTGTCTGTGATTACCATGCTCGAAACGTTTTTTTCAGGTCGTTTTTTTATTTGAACTTGGGATTCTTTTTAAATTTTGATATTACACCAAAATTTTAATTTTTTATTTTCAAACAGAATCTGCAATTATTATTTTTGACAAAAATGTACAATTTTTCCATTATTTTACCAATATCATTATTTTTTTTTAAAATATACATTTCCAAGTCTGCATTCCTTGTCTTATAGGATGTCCACGCAATGAACTGACAGGTGAGGGGTGAAGTCAGGAATTTTCATTTGTTCCTTGTTCTGTAGAAATTTGTCGGAAACGTTGGAGAAGGAGGAAATTAACTGTGAGCATCCGCCATTTGAAAAAATACTGATCATTTACACTGTCTTGTTAACTGAATTATCATTACCACAGAATTTTGGTCAAAATGCTGAAGAAAATTTACCAAAACATGTTTTTTAATCTTGTGGAACGAAACTCTGAAGATTGGCAGAGGTGTTATAGCATGTCTAGATGTTCATTTATTCTTGGACACAAATTTTAAGTTATTCTATCGAATTGTGTATTTTATCGATTTCTTATTGTTAATTTTTATCAATTATTTATATTACTGATGAACAGTTGGATGAATGTAACCCTGTTGTCGGTTCTTTGCCACTATGTATGTAAAACGTGTCTATAGGGGATTTAGATTTAAGAATAAATTGTTATTTTACTATGCACTCATATTCGTCATTGATTTTATTTCTCATTTTAGGTTCTTGCACTTTCTAATAGTTCCATGACTCTTATCATATCCATTAAAAGAGCTTATTAATAGAGCCTACGCCATAGGGATTTTTTATTTAAGTACTTCTGTTCTGTAAGATTCTGAGAGAAACAATGCTGCCATCCTGTTTCTCTCTGAAACAAACTCCTGAGCCTGAAAAAAGATCTCAAAGTTGAGACCGTAACAAAAGGGACTGCCTACATTATGGTGAGAATCCACCTCAACATCAAGTAAAATTCTAAAATAAATGAATAAATTAGTAGGGTTGCCACTTCAAGACTGCAGCACATTGACTATCATTATACGGTGTGCAATCTTTTCCACTGCATCCTCAACTTCAAGATCTTGTTGAGCTTGGATGTTTGTTTTAAAGAAAACCAGTGGTATCATCATGTTTTTGTAGATTTGTATGCGAGGAAAAGCACACCTCTGAAAGGACTGTGGTTTTATAATTGACAAAGCATCCACTACAACCACTTTAATTCATATGATTAATTTTATCTTCCACACGAGTGTAATAACTTTTTGCTCGATTCTGAACGGTAAAAAATTCTTTCCTATTTTAACGGAACAAAAAAAATATCAACAGTCTGACCAGTTTTTTGAATATTCTCCAAATATTTAGTGGATGGATCAGCACAATATATCTGAGCCGCACTATTCATGACTTTCAAAAATCTCGAAGAAGTTTCTCGATCTACTTCCATATACTTTTGGTCATGGTTCAATTCAAAGTAGGCAAATGATAAATAAAATCTGAAAATTACATACATAAAGCCGCTTTTATAGCGCCGCCTTGGGCTCTGCGACGCCCAATCGCCATTGCCCCCTATCCTCCCAGAGACCATCAGGCTTATAATCTTAAAATTGCTCGTGAAATATTTCAAAAATTTATGAAAAACATTGAATTAAATTATTCAAATGCCAATTAACTCCAACATCATAGAAAGATTCAAATGCAGCCAATATTGTTAAGATGCTCGCATGTAGGGTGGCTTTTTATACTTATGTTTGTTCGGTTTATTTTTGTTTTTTTTTTGTCTCAGAAATGCAAAAGTCGTCACTTTCTTGCTATTTTATTTTATCATTATGTTGGAGAGCAAGTTGCATACGTGAGCCCCGGACAGGTTTGAAATAATTCTCCAAAATTTCACATCTTTCTGGGTCCTCCCTCTCAGAAATCAGGACACCCTTCTCCAACTTCTCTTCTCAGAATTGGCGGGAGTCATCAGCCAATCCAATACCCTTGAACAATGTCTCTTTAGAGAATTGGCCAATCAAAGGCGTTCTTTTTCCCTCCATAAAAAAAGGATAACACCAAAGATTACTAAGGACTCCAGATACCGCACGCCGTATACTTGCCGTAGGAAAGAAGCGGCCCCCCAGTCGCCTGCAGCGCCAGGGTAGGCAACCTGTGTAGCGGTATGCCATACTTTAGCCCACCTGTAATGATGGAAGCGCATGGGAAATTGGGAAATTGCACTTCGAATGTGCAGATTATGAACGGCAAATTGCGAAAATTGTTCATTTTAGTCACTAGTGGGCTCACCAGTGGACTTAAATGGACTCAGAAAATTGAGCAGAGTTATTTGCATTAATTTTTTTTTCTTTCTTTTTTTTTTGGTTTTTTCGGCATTTTTTAACGATTTAAGACATAAGAAAATTTAATACAGTGAATCTTTAACCAAACTTAGCACAGCACGGCGAAACCGGTCAAACACACGGCAAACAGTATATTCGTTAGCTCGAAGTATGGCATACCGCTAAACAGGTTGCCTACCCTGGAGCTGCAGGGGACTAGGGGGCCGTGTTTTATTCCAATGCGGTATCTGGAGTCCTTAGTAATCTTTGGATAACACGCGCTGGTTGGAGAGGAGGGGCTCTTGTTTTTTCCCCTTGATTTCGTAAACAGTAAAAAACCTAACCTATTTCCTTCCAATTTAAAGAATTAATTTTCCTAAAATTCAAGCATAAACACGTGTTTGGTACCTACCTGGCTCTTCGTGTTTTCCTCAACGAAAGATTTCGTGCTGTTTTCAAAATATCCATCTAGTTGTTGTTTTTTGTTTGTATCAAAATTGTTTCTAGTACAAACTACAAACTTTACTATTGGAGGTGTAACATGCGATGTGTTAATGGTTCCACTCTTGTTGTTATCTGTAACACCACTCATGCAGGAACATAGAAGGTAAATCTTACTCTAGGTAAAACAACTTCGCTCTTTTTCTCTAAATTCATTTTTACGTCAGGTTTCACACAAGTTGCAACGCCCTGACATTCACTGTCGCAGTGTGAGGTAGAAGGGAGATGTGACCATTAGCTTGCGGCGCAACATGCGGTGTAATCCTGTTTCTCACTTGCGCATTACCTGGTTACCATTTTAATGTGCAGGTGCAACGCAAACAGATATGGAAAACCCTCAGTTGTTTTCGTCATATTACCAGGCTCAGAGGGCATCCAGGCATTGAGCAAATGAGAAACATGATTTCAGTGTATGATTCTGCGGGCAATTTTGGTACAAATTTGGTGCACCTCTGTTTGCATCCTGTCTTATACAGCCTTCTCATGTGCGACATGAGAGTTTCTGGAGGGATTTGATTGTGAAAAACACAAACCGGAGGTGTTATGAAGATACTTTCAGTAATTCAAAGACGAAGCATTTCGACCTTTATGGTTATTATCAAGGCAAATACGAACTTCATAAAGCGTCACTTAGTCAAAGGCAAAATACAAGCAATTAGCTATTGAAACTGCTGGCATACAAGAAGTTGAAAGGTCAAAAAACATTATTAAAAATAGAAAAATAGTATAAACGAGAAGGTATGCAATTGATTGATAGTGAAAACAGGTGGAAGTAAAAGTAAAAATAAAATATTGTATTTTGTCTTTGCCTCAGACAATTGTGTTATGTAGTTTGTATTCGCCTTGATAGTGGCCAAAGAGGTCGAAAAGCTTCGGCTCTGAATTAATAAAAGCATCTTCATAACACCTTGGTTTTGTGTTTTTCACAAAGATATCCTGTCAAACTTAACTGGTGTTTCGGTGATTTTCATCGCCATGTTCGAATATGAAAGTTTTTGGTTTATGAAAATCTTCTCTTCGTTTAAATGCCACAATGTTTATCCCTTGTGGGTCTACGCATAAGTTAACTTGTGTTACGACAGCCGGCCAGAGATTCCCCTCTAACTCGCTCTATAATCGGCATATCAAGTCATGTAGCATATGCATTCTGTTGGGAAGGATCTGAACTACAACTTTAGACTACTTTTATAGGGGTCTGCGCGATAACCGAGGGCTCTAAGGGTCGTATGTCATCTGCTGCTACTTCCTCCAGAAGCTTAGATCCTGACGTAAATATAGTTTTATGCTTCAATTTGGAGTGTTTTTCAGTGAAGAGCACCAACTTAATCGTACATGCACATTAGAGCACATTTGTTTACGCAGCTTCGCCTCTTTTTCATGTGAGTGCGTCCATGTGACCATGAGCGCATGATCGGAAAGCCTCTTTCTCTCACTCCAAGTGTCTAACTTTTTAATTTATGCATGCCTTCATACTATCAAGCAAACTCATACTTTGTTATTTTATCACCTTTAAGTTCTTACTTTCTGTATGTTCTAGGTGGATGTAAGTAATACCATGAGTATTTTAAGAGTAATTCAGCCATGGATAAAACAATATCTGAATGCTCACTTGATCGACCCCACTGTGCATCTCATAGAAGAGCAGTTAGAAGCTCGCAAGGTAGGTAGCACTGCTCGTCTTTTACTTTTCACCTAAGACATGGTTCACACTATTGTTAATTTTAAAATGTAATCATATTAATCCTAAAGCATCGATCAAATAACCTTTTTATCAGTCAGTGAGATGACAGCGTTTTCAGTTCTTGGTTTGGATGCAGAAGAAGGATAAATCTACTGAGACCTTCAACTTAATTTTTACCAAGAAGACTAAACCAACATCATGGCTTGTAATTTTCAACGTAATATTCTTCACACTGAGAGGACAATTTATCCAAGTACTCAAGAAATGACGTTGAGTAGTTTTATTTCTATAAAATGACGTAGGTATGATAGAAAGTCTGCAATGTCGCGAACTGAGATTCGCATCCCTGTAGTTTCACCATAGTAATGCAGTGGTATCAGGGAATGAATTTTGAAAATGTTGTTTTAATTTTCTGCCAATGTTCTTTCTCATGGACAAGCACTCTTTTAAAATATCAGAGATTTACTTGCCCGTATAAATATTGATAGTCAAAGCGTGAAACCATGTATCTATTGCAGTGTCACCAAATTTCCGCTCCTACTTTATTTTTTCAAAGAGCAACTAACTAGCCAACTTCATGGACTGAAATTGTCATAAAATATTCTGCTTTTACAAAAGAGAAATCAGTTTTTAAGAAATTAAAATGACTAGTTTTTCAAAGAAAAAATAAAGTATGACAGGAAGTCTGCAATGTCGCAAACAGAGGTATGTAATTTCGAACTTCGGCCACCGAGATGCTTGAGCTATGTCTGTGTATTTGATTCCAGAGTCTGATTGTGGTCACATTATATTCAGGGCTGAGTTTTTCATTCTCAAGACTTTATCAGCCATATAATCTTGTTAAAATCAAGTTACAAAACAGATTTAATGCATGATGTGGAGCTGCTTTATTCTAGCAATCAATTAGGTACAACTCGCTCCTCATCTAGCTGTTGTAGTACTTATCATCAATTTTTCATTGTTAGACTTGAAATTAACCTCCGTGTTCAGACTTGTTTGGTTGATTTCAACTCCTTTTTTGCTGTTGCAGAGTATTGACATAGATGCCTTAACAAAATACCACAATCAAACAACAGCAAAAATTTTCAAACATCTAGCGAAAGAACTCTCTGAATACTTACCAGCTGATTCTTTTACTTTCTCTGATGATTCATCCTTTCAGTCCAGGAAGAAGGAACTGAAAAAGCTTCAAAACCAGTGAGTATCAAGGCTTTTTCACAAATGGATCGCGATTCGCAGAAAGGAACCAGCGTGGTCACAGTGTTGTAAAAATTTTGCCTCTTCACAATTATCTAGAATATCTCCCAGAATAGCAAATAGTTTTTGCTTCCCACCAAAAAATTATGAATTTTTAAGGAATATAGTGTATAAATTTTATTAGTGTGCATGCATTAAGTATATTTAAAAAAAAATAAGAAGTTGCACGATTTTGAAAACACTAATCGTGCTGGTACCTTTTTGCTAAGAATGCAATTCAAATATACTACTTATAAGTATCAGTGGCTGAATGCAAAAACTATGTATCTAAAATTGCAGTGTTTAAATATCTCTGATTATCTTTTATTTACCTCAAAGAAGTCTAACCAAAATTTTTCGGTTTCCATTTTCTGTGTATATTGTTTTGAAGAACCTGTTGGTTAGTTTTTCCTCACAATGTAGGCATGAAACATGAGGAAAGGGTTTCTTTGTATGTCATAATCTGAGTTACAATTTTTCAACTTTATCCATTGATATGTAATTCAATTTTTGATGATTTCAAGAGATCAGCAGGATAGTGCAGTGTCAGATGCCTTTTACCATTTTATGAAAGATTATTATGACGAGGCAAAATCCAAAATAACTTAAAACCCAAAAATTTTGACACCATTGTGCATGCCAAGGTACAAAAGTCTTCAAAATTCGTGGGTCTTCTGAAAAATCTAGATTTTTCACCCACCCAATTTTTTAGTCAGCCATTATTATGTCTCAACCTCAATACACTACATACCTTTTGGTGAATATACAGGGTGGGCCAGAAGTTCCAGGACGGTCGGCTAACTTTTGAACGGTTCGAGATAGAAAAATGAAACTTTGGGAATGTTCCTATCTCAAAGGGGACCATCTTATGGGGGAGTCAAAATTTTGGTCCCCCCCTAAGGGAGGGGGCGGGGGCCCCCAACTTTTTTTTTTCAAATGGCAACCCCTATCTTGTGATACCTCATTCGAAAGACCATAAAAAACTAAGAATTTTGGCGCAAACCGCAGATCAATATCTTAATTTTTGACCGAGTTATGATAGGATCAAAGGTCAAATTTGACCTATTTTTAAAAAATCACAACTCCGGTTCAAATTATCGTAAAGAAAAAAATAAAACGGGAAAATTTACTGATTGTGTTCGCTTTTTTGTAAAAATTGCAGAAATCACTTCGAACTAATTTCAAGGGGGGGTTCGGACCCCCAAATACGTCAATTCAAAGGCCATTCAATTTTCCCGCGAAATAAGCCAATTTCCCCCAGATTTGCCTCCACATTATCTCAGTAAGCTCAAAATCAGTTCAACATTACGTTGGGCAAGTCCCCAAATTTCAGGAAAAGTTAAAAAAACGCAATTTAAGGTAATTAAATTTGATCGTTTTAATTGGTTTTTTTTTAACTTTTCCTGAAATTTGGGGACTTGCCCAACGTAATGTTGAACTGATTTTGAGCTTACTGAGATAATGTGGAGGCAAATCTGGGGGAAATTGGCTTTTTTCGCGGGAAAATTGAATGGCCTTTGAATTGACGTATTTGGGGGTCCGAACCCCCCCTTGAAATTAGTTCGAAGTGATTTCTGCAATTTTTACAAAAAAGCGAACACAATCAGTAAATTTTCCCGTTTTATTTTTTTCTTTACGATAATTTGAACCGGTGTTGTGATTTTTTAAAAATAGGTCAAATTTGACCTTTGATCCTATCATAACTCGGTCAAAAATTAAGATATTGATCTGCGGTTTGCGCCAAAATTCTTAGTTTTTTATGGTCTTTCGAATGAGGTATCACAAGATAAGGGTTGCCATTTGAAAAAAAAAAGTTGGGGGCCCCCCGCCCCCTCCCTTAGGGGGGGACCAAAATTTTGACTCCCCCATAAGATGGTCCCCTTTGAGATAGGAACATTCCCAAAGTTTCATTTTTCTATCTCGAACCGTTCAAAAGTTAGCCGACCGTCCTGGAACTTCTGGCCCACCCTGTATAAGAACCAAATCAATGACAAAGTCAAACTACGGTCTCTACCTCCAAATTTGGCAAGAAATTAAAAATAGGTCTGGTTATATTTTCAGCTTTAATATGTTTTGGAGACTTACAACTTCACAATTTGAGGTACACGTTCTTCACATAGTCATCAATATCTAACTTAAGTGTGAAAGTCATTAGTTTAATGAGGAAAAAAATCGCTGAACATGGCATTTCCTTTGAAATATGAATATAAGATGGATCAATAACTTAAGATAGTATTTAAAACATTTTACTTGTATCTTTGTAAATCTGAGAAAAATGGCACAAACTGCCTTTTATAGAACAGATCATTAGTAGAGTGCAATTGTCTTATTTCCATGGTTCTGAATTTTATGTGATACCAAAGTTCCTTTATTTTGAATAGTTCTTTCTTGCAGTCCTAAAATGCATTTATCACTTAAATTCCATTACCTACTTCATTTTCGTTTTCAGACTGCTGAAAAGTAGCTCTAGTAGTGAAGACGATGGTGTCTACAAAGAGGACAAACAAGAAATTTCAACACAAACAGGTAAGTTTAACAGTTTTTTCTTTTTTCTTTCCTTGGCTCCCTTTGGTCCCTACTATATTTTTGACAAATTTTATACATTTGCATCAAGCAACCATTGATAAATCATCACCAACAGATGACATTTGGACTGAGTTTATCAGAAAGGAACCAACCCACATTTTCCAAAAAATTGTGTTAAGAATGATCTTGAGTTCCTCGAGCCGTATATTTTCTCCTACCAAACCTTGAAAGTCTAAAAACAATATTTTTTTATGAAAAGAGGGTTTAAAGCTTATTTTTTACACTGAGCCCTATGTAAGAATAAAACTTCAAACCTCTTTTTCTCAGTTTCAACTTAATGTGGGTTGGTTCCTTTCTGATGTACTCCATCGAATTTTAGACTGAGGTCATTTTAGTGCTTAGATATTGACGAAGTTGGGACAATTTCAGGGAGGAGTGAAATACTGCTGCATATGAGAATTTGACAGCAGTGTATTCTCAGGTATCAAGTCTGCAGATTTTAATCTGCAGTAGGTATTTTCGAAATCTATATACATTTGAAAGTCAGTGGCCCGATTATTGAAACAATGTTGGCACAACAAGACCAAACATAGCCCTATTTTAACTATCCAACGCATTTCAATATCTTATGCGGCTGCTTTGAACTTTCAATAATCGGCTCTCAGATTGTCTTTCAAAGAATTTTAAATTGTGCTTAATGAATTTCTGCCTCCAGTAAGGCAAATTTTTGAGCTTAGTTGCGCACGATTGATCCCTTAAGATCTTCTTAATAACTTGACTGCCCTCTTCCTCTCTAGTGTATACATTTTGCGGCTCATTGATGGAGGCCAAACAATTTTTTCAACGGTGCTTTTGCCCTTATCTTTCCCTTATGCAAAAATTACAATGAAAAAACATTTAAAAGTAACGGAAGTTTCATATGCCTGTACTAAGGAGTGGCAATTCTGCGCCCATTTCTTGCAAGGATTACCCGATTTTGTGTGATTACCATTATGACAGTGCTATCCTGTGCCACCAGGACAGTCAATTTTAATATTCAAGTTGTTTACTGTTTTAAATGAGCATGTTTCACTGTTTTTACAAACAATTCTGACAAAAATTCGTTGGCGGTGAAGTTTTACCCCATAAAAAAATTGTCCTTGCTTCATCAATTTTGAAAAAATAGGATTATCTTCATCACCGTTGATCAGTCAAGAATCTGATCTTTAAAATGAGACCAATATTACTTTTCAAGGATTATTAGTTTTGAATAAGCAGCAGCAGTCAACTTTTTTTGGGGTCAAGCTCCATACTTTTTTAACCAATATTTTGATTTTATTTTTCAGAAAATCGAGCATGCCTTACACTTAAACCTCTTCACAAGCTAGTGGAAAATGAGCCAATGCATGATGATGATGATGATATTATTCTTAATGCAGACTTGGCAGCAACTCCCTCTAAGAAGAAACATAAAAAGAAAAGGAAAGAAAATGCTGATGCTGAGCCTGAGTGCAGTTCAACAGCAGGTCCAGTGATCAATCTTGTGGAAGAAGAAGAAGAAGAAGAAGATGGAGACTGCCCCACTGGATCCTCAAAAAAAAAGAAGCACAAAAAGAAAGGGAGAAGTATAAGTGAGGCAGAAAGCAGTCATGGCGTTGACTGTTACTCCGATCTTCTTGACCAAAGCAAGATCGGGTCCAAAAATGATGAAGGTCAACCCATCCTAAAATTGTTCATGGAGTTTCTGAAACATATGGAGTCGTTGAGCGAAGAAAAGAAAAATAAATTCATCAAAGACGTCTATCAGATACTACGTACTGCAGGGAGCACTCAAATAGAATGTGATAACGAAGAAAACATTTCCCCAACAGATTATCATAAATTGAAGAAGAAGAAGAGAAAAAAGTCTCACAACTCTGAAAGTGGTCCTGATGATGTGCCCCAAGAAATAATTTATCTGGACATAACCCATGATCATAACTATGGTGATACGTTGAGAAAGCCTCAGAAGAGGAAAAAAGACAAACGATATGAAGAGTCATTCGAGACTGAGGATGGTTCCGGGGCGAAAAAGAAAAGAAAAAATAGTCATTGTGAATCTCTTCCTACAAACATAGAGGACAATGTCAATCCATCAGAAGCTTTGCTTTGTCCTTCTGAAAGTTCCAAAAAGAAAAAGAAGAAAAAAAAGAAGAATTTGGAAGACGAGGAGGCTAGTGCTTCTGAAGTAACCTACTTACCTGGAGATGCTTTCGATCTACCTGCATCGGAGAAAGATAGCCAACGCCAGGATTCTTTCCATGCAAATTCTAGTCGTAGCAATAATATTAACAGCGCCCATTGTGATATTTTAGGATCTGTGATAAACCAAGAAGCAGGAGACGCCTCTGAAAGTAAGGATGCTCCATCTCGACCCACATCGCACTCGAGTCAGAAAAGTCTTACCGACAGGCGCCTAAGCTGTGAATCTGGCTCCAGTAAGATTACAAGAACACTCAGAACCGACGATTTCCTTCATGAGCTAAACCCTTCGTACGATTCAGACTCTGATTCAAATGGAGGTAGCTCTGTTCTCTTGTTATCTCATGTTATGGGCGATGAAGTAGCAATCAAAGAAGAGCCAATGTCTCCAGACTTTGCAGAGCGAGGTGAGTCAGCGTTGCTATTTAGGGCCTGTATTCATGGCAAAAGGGACTATGTATACCTGAATTGAATCAATAGGAATCATGTAGTAGGCTTATTTTATGTGCACACTCAGTTCCTTTTGATATAATTTATAAGTGCTTCCTTCCTTTTAGCCTGGGTACGTCCACTTTTAATCATTCTCCCTTTGATATGAACGAGAACAAGGTGGGGGAAAACGTTTTCATTTGAAGGTATACTTTAAACATACAGCAAGTTAAAAAACAATGCTGACTTGCAGGAAACAAGACAGAAACGTTATCACGACCTGAAATGGCACCAGTTATTATCAATTGGATGAAAATAAACCAAACTTAAATCATAAAAATCTACAAAAACCTGTATGACCAGAGATAAGAATTTCTAATAGTCAAAAATCTTTGAAACCTATTTTAAATAAAACTTAAAACATGTATATAATTTATTTGGTCTTGTTGAAATTTGATGATGAAGAATAAGTTAAAACCTTGCTTGAATATCTGAGCTTTTATGGAGGGCTCAGTGACTTCAGAAAATCAAAACAGCTTCTATTCTAAATTGAATACCTACAACAAAGTAACGTGTTATTGGAAAGTCAAAAAATATTACTCAACTGTGAACAAGCAGAAAATTCTGTCATTAAACCATGAACTTCCTTTCCTAAGTTGAAATACTCCATTTTCAACCGCAACTACTTGCTCTATCAGCATAATTTGGGAGGATTTCAGCAGAAAGGTCCATAACAGTGAAAGTTTGCGCGTTTCTCAGAGCAGCGGCTGTCTGAGCAAATGGCAGCATAGCTGAGACCATTGTTACCTCCTTATCCAGAACAGATAAATCGGAGAAATAAACTCGCACATTTTAACTTTTTACTACCATTTTAACGTCAGACCCTTCTTCTGGAACCCTTATTAATTTTGTCTCTGCAAGGCTCTCTCTGGTGTAGATCACGCATCTAAAAAGTAGCTTCTGTCTTTTTTATCTTTAATTTTGCATTATTGTCAATGGATTTGGCATGGGTAACAAATCGCTAAAATTTAAAATATATGAAATATAATTTTAAAAAAAAATGTAAGAGAGTCTTTTTTATGATGAATAGTGAACACCCTAGAATGAGCAGACATTGGCTAGGGAATATTGTTTCTTGACCCAAGAGGAAATGTAAATTTGAAGTAAATCTATTGCCGATCAAACTCAATATTTCTTGAAGAAATCATTCATGTTTTTTTTTTTCATTTTTTAGGTCTTTCAAATTCAGTCAATTCTGCCAATTTTATGAAATCACCGTCAAGGAAGCAGTCGCGGAAAGCTAAATCTTCTTCCTCATCAAGTGGAGCTGTTGGCAGTGCTTCACAATCAAACGTCTTGAACGAATTTCTAATTATGCCACAATCCACCAATGATTTCAGTCTATCTAAAACTTTTGATGAGCAAGACATGATTGACCAAATGGAAGGTGTGTATTTGAACCCTCTGACTCACCCTGCCTCTGCACAAAACACTTTAGCCAGTCCTGCAGAGTAGATCCATTAGGATTTGTACAGTAAAAAATACTATTGCCAAAGTCCTCCAAAGTAAAGGTCTGCTACACACAAGATTTGATAGTGAAATTACAGAAATGCGTCTATCGGTTTGTGGCATTGAAGACGTCTTATCATACTTTATTTTCTAAATAGAAAGCTACCCAATGTCTATTCCAACACTTTAGTGATTTTTCTTCTTTGAACATTCCATGAGAGAAGAGTGGATTTCAAACGTCCTTAGCATTATTTAGTTTTTCTCTACTTTGAACTTAACACTTTTTCAAGGTGTTTAAAGGTCTGGAAAACTGAGAATATTAAAAAATCAAGGAAATCAGGGAATTTTATGAAGAATACTGAAAATTTGTACGATCTTAGAACTTTCAATCCGAAAAAAACCTCAGCCACATGTCAATTTAATCAAACCAAGTCTTATTCTGGTTCAGGCTCCAATTCTCTGTTACACTTCTAATAGCGATTAGAGGAACAAGTTTTTTCCAAGAATTGAAATTTTATTCAATGGATAATTAATATTAAAAGAAAAAAGGTTCAAATTTGTGTGTCTTTTGCAGTGAAATAAATGCCAAAAATTGCTCATTTTCAGTTCTATCCGCTGAAATTGTCCCTTCTGAAAAGTCAGGGAGTGTTGACCGTTTTGGGCATTTTAGTTAGGATAAACCTGGAAAAGTCCTGGACTTCTTTTTTGCTGAGTTTGAAGACACCCTGTTTTTCCAGTTTTAGCCCCTACCAAGTATTGTCTCATTTTATCACAGGATTGTACCTAAGTAATACTTTCATGAATACATTATTAACAAAATTGATTATTTTTGCCCCAAAGATTCAGAAGATGAAGAAAGTGAAAATTTGTCATCAACACATGATGAAAGGCAAAATGAAAGTACTGGAATAACTCTAAACACATTAACAAATCCTTTGTCGATACCCGTTACCATCCCAAGTGTTGATACAAGCGCAAAACAGATAGAACTGAACGATTGCAGATCTTTAGAAAAAGAACTTCTGGAGCTGGAGCAATGCCTGGTGTATGCTGAAAAAGGGGTAAGTAAGCGCCATCTGAGATGACATAATAATACAATTTGAAAGACCAGCTCGCATCGCGTGATGTAAAATCACAAAATCAAGAGCAAGTATTAAAGGGAGGGGGGGGGGGAAGTTATCACGTTGAAAATTTTAGGGGAGCAGAAAATGTTTCAAATGGGAAGGCCAACTTGAAAATAGGAAAGCTAAGATCTTTCCTTATACATGCTTCCAAGTTGTTGCATATTAAGTGACCCTCGATGTTATTTTTCTTTTTAAGTAACCAATTCATGTATATATGAGACTTGAAATGAAGCTTTCCCGTCCTAATCAGGCAGACTGCCGTTCAGAAAATGCGCTACTGAAATTACTGATATTGCTGTAGGTTCACTACAAAGCGCTACATTCAAACGTTCTCTCCACATTGATATTCTCAAATTAAACCCCTTTAGGGGCTCTAAGGGCCCTAGATTCCTTCACAGAAATAGATTGTTGCACTACGCCCTTAATTTGGCTGAAATAATGTAGCTCTTTCAGTCTAGAAGAGGAAGAAGTAGCTAGGTACAGTACAGAATAGACCGAGCAGGGAGGTTTTTAGTCAGTTCACCACTCGTATCAGTCTTATTTCTGAATATTTCTCTCTGACAAAGGGAGAGTTCTCACAATACACCCTACTCCTGCAAAAACTGTTCCTAAATTAACATCTATGTTTGATTTTGTCTCTTCTTTTTCTTTCAGACAAGAGACGACCAACAACCCTCAACATCGCAAGGACCAAGGTAAGATCTTCCTCCTTATGGTGGTGGACTGAACTTGGTTAAAGATGTGAGCTTATTTTGCTATAATTGCCCTAAAATTTTTCATGAATTACACTCAATTGTTTCATTTACATCAGGTTTGTGACACTGAAATAGAGCAATTTACATCAAAGTTCTTTATAGTATAACGCTCAAATCCTATTTTTGCCTCGTTTTTAAAAATTTAAATCGAAATCAAACTTTGAGAGGTTTTACATCTTTCAAAAACTTATGATCTTGTCTATTCAAAACCACTCAAGCTTATTTTAAATAATTTGTAAGCTTTTCTGTGTATGTTAAGTCTCAAAATCATAAGTTGTTCATCATTTGATCATCATTATATCTCTGTGTGTCGCACCAGAATGAAAAAATGACCCATTTAAGAAGACTCATTAAAGTTTCGGTCTCTCAATGATTAGCATGATCCTAGCTCATGTCTTTTTCCTTGTTCAGTTGGCTTTATTCCCAGTCAAAGTCTTGTAAATAGCAGGTCTCCTGAAATATAGATTGAAACATAGATTAGAAATCTCAGAGTCAGTAAAATTTTAAAAATTTTCCCCTCAGAAACTCGTTACTACGCTGATTCCCAACAGTTTCATCACTTTTTGAAACGACAACCTCCTCACCCCCTTATAAGCTGTATTCAGCTTTTTATTCCATCAAAATTTAAATTTTGTTAAAATTTTTGTGGAGTCACCAATTGAAAGAATTGGAAAAAGATTTGAGACAGAATGAGTAAAAGTTTTAAAGCCAATGCTTTCAAATGAGTAATATTAGGTTTTACCTGATTTTACAAGACTTTGCTTGTTGGATGCTGCATTGGATTTTTTGCATGTTGAATTGCTGTTTTGCGTTTTATTTTTGGAGTTTTTAAAGTATGTGGAAACCATTATTGAAGGGTTAAGCAAAAGCTTAACCCTTCAACCCTGCTGCTCTGAGAATTAGTATTCAAATATATGAAAATCAGTAACCCTGAACATTTACAAAATATCCTAAACTCATTTCCTAATCTCGATTCAGTGCTGCTAAAATTACGAAAATCGCCAAAAGATCAAAGATCAGATCATATGCATTTCAGGTCTATTAAGTTTGATCGCTCAATAATACAAAAATACTATAATACAGAAAGAACTACTGTATGAATTAAGAATAACGTTTGTCACACTACTCATATAATCATTGACAAAAACGCGTTAAATCAAAGAATCATCAACAGATTGTGAATGTGAACTTCAGAACCTGCCCAGCGTAGCGTGGACAGCTCAGAGCTGACACTTCAGGACAATTTTGATCCTCTCCTAAAACGTTTCCAAAATAATTTGGAACTTTACCTGAAGTTGGCAAGGAAAGGATGTCTTTGTTGAGAATTGGAATATTAAGATATTTTAGGCACACTCCTATGAATGCAGGAAAAAAGAGTGAAAATCAAACTTTTCCCTCAGCTCAATAGCGAACAATGCAAATCTTTTGATTTGATAGGAAAGGAAACTCTTTTCTGTACCAAGTTCAAAGCATATATGTAGAAGTTATCTAACTTCATTCCATATCTTTCACAGAGAGTTGTGAACATGGAGGAAGCTATTTTTTACTTTCTCTTTGGTTGAACAGAGGTTTTTAATGTGATCGGGGTGATCTCAAGGTTTGTGAAGTTCGTAATACAAAGTATGCAAGCATACTCGTAGTCATTCATCTAGATGTACCCGTTTTTTGTTAATTGTGTAACTAAAAAGATACAATACGCCAAACACTAGACTCATAAAAATTTGTAATTTTAATGAACTGGCTGTGAAAAGTCTTCATTTTTTATGGCACATTTGTAAAATACCCTAAATTGTCGAGATCTATGTGAAAATTCTGAGTTCTCAGTTTTCGCCCTCGCATTAATCGAGCTCAGGGAGAGACAAGAAATAAGTTCCATTTTGGTTATCCCATGTAAGAGAGATGAGAAAGAATCGTTGGAATCCATTAGAATACCTCAAAAGTTCTGGAAAGGTCAGGGAACCTCCATTTGCTAGTCTGGAAAAGGTAAACTTTCAACAGATTTTAAGAGTGTGGCAATCTCTCAATGAGAAAAGTGACGGTGTGATCTGTAAATCACATTTTCGATGTATCAGAGAAATAGAGTACCGAGTCCGGGACTCCACAATATCCCGTCTTTGGATAAAATTAGCTCTGCAGTTCGTCTCGAAAAGTCTGTGAACAGGGTGTCCAGGATCAGGATTTGAGGTCAATCAGGATTTAATACCGATTTAATCAGGATTTGAGGAAAAATCGGTTGTTAAATCAGGATTTGAGAAAACTCGGCCGTCCGATCGGATTTTTTTATCAAGCTATTTTCGTGAAACTATACATTCGCCTTGCGTGAAGTGAGTTTTTCTTCGCAAAACTCAGGATTTCATCCGTATTTCCCAAAATGAAAAAAAAAAAAAAAACTAGACACCTTGATGAATTTTTGTGCAGTGCAAATCATTACTACCCAATTTAGGAGAACTCACAGATTCATGCACTGTGCAGTGACGTTGGATGAATAATGTTGAATTCGGGATTCTCATGATGAAGTTGAGGTGTTTCCTCTATTTACACAATATTTGCATGGTAAACCTAATACCTGGTTTGCTTCCTCGATCCCCACTGTGTCGCCACATCTCTGAAAGTCGCCTATATTTGTACCATCTTGGCAGTGGGAACTCAAGCGTGCCAACCGTGAACACAGAATATCGGTAAATGTGCTTCTTACATAGCACGATTGTACTAAACGCCTACACTTAGTCAAAATTCAATTTGCGCCCATTATGTACGAAGAATTACCTATTCTGCTCCTCTGAGCAAAAAATACGCTAATCGGATTTCAATTCTGTGTATAGATCCGGAGGTTTTTGTCGGAAACGGAATCATAAAATGCCTTCAATTAGTCGGATATGCAATTGAATCAGTGAGAACGAAAACACGCCTACTCGGTAACTTGAAAATGCTCACTTTTCACTAAGGACAGACAATTTTCATAAAGGTCATTGAAGTTACCGTATCCGTTCCAACTTGGACGTTTAAAGAGTCCTTAAGTACTTGCTTTTAGGCACCAAAAATCTTTTTCTTAGACTAACTTTTTCACCTACTATGCAGTTTTGTGTGTGTCTCGATTATTTTCATTTTTTCGAGTCGGTGTGTTTTCGTTCTCACTGATTCAATTCATGATAGTGGTGTTCAAATAGTTGCCTACTCTACCTTGCTACTCCTTTAGCATGATCGAATCTCATCAAAATCCTCCTTAGGTATGTGGTATTGCGGTGTCTGCACAGCAAGCCGTATTTAACGCCTTCATGTAGCCAAAATATTATTTGCGTCTATTGTGCATGAATAATCGCCCAACCATCTCTCCTAAGCAGAAAACTCCTAAAACCGAACGAAATTATTTTTACATCCGCTGTTTTTGTTGGAAGTGACAGTACTAAATGCTTTGATTTAGCCGAGATGCGATTTGCATCAATTTATGGACAATTATGCTCAATCTAACAGGACATGCATAGAATCGCAGTTATTGTTGGAAACGGCAGTACTAAATGCGTTGTTTCAGCTGAGATACAATTTGTATCAATTTATGGACGATTAGTTGCTTATCCCTCTCCATTAAGCAGGGAATGCGTAGATCCGCGGTTATTGTTGGAAATGACAGCACTAAATGCCTTGATCTAGCCGAGATGCAACTTACATCAATTTATTGACAGTTGGTTGCTTATCCTGCTGAATTATGCAGGGAATGCGTAGATCCGCGGTTATTGTTGGAAACGGCATTAAAAACACGAAACTCCTTCATTTAGTCGAGCTACGATATGCATCAACTAGGTAGCCTCTAGACAAGGTAACACAAGGTCTTTAAGTACTATGCAACATGTGTTTTTGTTGTTGTTTTTCAAAATTTCTTTAGAAAAACGAATCAGCAAACAGTTGGTCTAGGTTTTTTTTTTTTTTTTTTTTTTTTTGGAAGCGAAGTGTTTATATCACGCCCCGTCCCTGAAACTCGACTCCTGAACAAAATATAAGTGTTTACAATGACATAAGGAACATAAGCCAAATGGCAATGATACGAATGACTTCATTTTGATCCTCTAATTTTCATTTGATTTTATCATTTCGAAAATACTTGTTAATATCTCATGCAAACACGGTTACGCGAACTGGAAGTTGGGTTTGACGAACTGAATAGTTGGTATGACATAGAACACCATGTTCTCCTTCATATTGTGGATATGCAATTTTGTCTCCTTTGGCCGTCAAAATATATGTATGAAGTGTTTCGCTTCATCCAACTTTTTACTCCTGCGTTTATGTCTGTGAGTCAGCCGGAAAGAGTTCTTGTTCTCCTTCATTTTGTGAACGCGCAGTTTTACCTTCTTAGAAGGCGAAATAGTTGTATCACGCATTATGCTTCATCAAACTTTTCTACTCTTGCGTTGAAGTCTCTGCACTAGCCGAAAATAGATTATCCTTCATTTTGTGGGTACGCAATTTTACCTATTCGGATGTATCACGCGTTTCGCCTCTTTCAACTTTTCTACTCCTGCGTTAAAGTCTCTGAGTCAGCCGAGGAGAAATCACGTTCTCCTTCATTTCGTGGATATGCCATTTTACCTACTTGGAAGTCAAAATAGTTGTCTCTCGTGTTCCGCTCCATCCATCTTTCTACTCTTGCGTTAAAGTCTCTTAGTTGGCCAAAATGAGATTCTTTTTTCCTAAAAAAAATAAATAAATAAAACATGAGCCGAGATTTACATAATGTCGCAATTTGAAGTACGTAACTAAACTGACTTTAGCCATATATTTTTTCAAAACTCACGATACAGGTATGCTCTTTTCATTTAAATGCATCCATGTGCATAAAAATCTCTTAATAAACATGCTGAGAATGAATAAATGCCTCCCCCCCCTCCCTCCATGTTCGTTAATCTACTCTTTTGATTTAAGCGACTGCTGTCAACAAGCACTTT